TATATATTCACCTACCTTTTGCTCTCTTCTTGAAAGCGACACTGTTGGCTGAATCAGCATCCTTGATATCCTCACTGGTCTTGCCCACTATCGTACTTCCACTACCACCTATACTTACACTTGAATGCGTAGCTGCGTTCGCAGGTTGTCCACCTATACTCATACCTATACTTTTGTTCACAGTATCCGTGCCTGTAGACGTCACAGTAGTTGTTTCTGTGTTCATACTAGTATTAGTATTTGTTTTAGCACTTGTATCCGTACTTTTCACTTGTGTTGGTAGAATTTCATCGTCATCATCGCTATTGGAGAACCGTCGGCGCACGGCCTTTGGTTTCTTTGAGCGTCTCGCCGCAAATGACATCCTTTTGTAACTATGCTGTGTATGTATAGTTTGATGTGTGTTCTATGTTTTTATCTATAGCAAAAATACCGGTATATGGCCTAGATTAAGCTGTTGATACACTGCATGCAAGCAACTCTGCTGTTGTGGTTCGTAAGTATATTATATGTTGCTATTCATAGCACATACATACCATAATATATGATATATGATCTGTTAGACGTTGGAATTAACCACTATACGATCTTGTAGCATTGGTATCGACAGTATCTATCCCCAATCAGTCGATTTTTAGCACTATGTGGTGATAGAACGCGGAAAAAAGTAGCACTGCTGTATAGTCTGTAGCTTCACGTAGACATACGTGACTGAGAATATGTAGGCAGAACTTCAGGCTTCAGCAGAAGTTCAGCAATCAACTCTCAGGAGTCAGGAGTTCAGGACTCAGTCACTCAGGTCTCAACTTGACAATCAGACAGAGTCTCAACTCTCAGGAGTCTCAGGAGACGTTCCGAAAGCCGACGGCCATTTTGCCGCCAAATCCCAAATTGGGTTTTTGATGACGCGTGGCCGGTGGGCGCCGTTCATTTCGACACCTCATCAGTCCTCAGACCTCAAGGCTCAAGCCCAAGCTCACACTACAGCCAAAACTTTTTTATTCTTAAACGTTAAAATGTTGTAACTTATTAGCGTTCAATACATATACGCTTTCATAAGATTTTAACGCTATATCGTGACGGCCCTATGGATTTCACTACAGGTACATGTTCGAAGCTTCCGAGGTTCGAAGTTTTCATACCTTTCCTTGAGGGAGTCCGTTTAGCTCACATAATAGGTATGCTTTCAGTCTTTTGACCCGTATAACCGTTTTAACGTCTATAAATCGATTGTATATATGTGTTTCCGCTAAACTTTTAACGGATTAAGGTTAGAGGCTACACCCATACTTAGTCGCGAATCAGTCATGCGGATGCCTCTACGCTACACTTGTCAATATTTATTTACCTCTGTATTTGCATCTAGAAATATATTGAGGAGGTTAGCTTGATATGCAAGCATACTCAAATGGTGTTATAGCAAAGCGTACAGTACACACCGTGGTATCTATCTATCAAGGTTGAACGGAACCTCAGTTACTGTACCAGTTATTTTAAAATATAAATCGAGACAACAACATGGTGCAAACGTAAGTGGTGGTGGTGCCAATGTGTCCATAAATGGGGTCTTCGCTTTAGTTTAGTGAAGTAAAGATTCATCACAGATTTTTTCGATGCCGCACTGGTTACATGTTAATATTGATTATGTAATTTATCATTCCGAACTATGTTCTCAGCATTTTATGTTGTAAACATTCATCTGCCAATCCAATTGATATTTAAGACATTTTGAGACATAGCTACATACATAGGCTACAAATATATTTACATACATACATGCATACAAATACTCATACATACATACATACATACATGCATACATATATGCATACATACATACATAAATACATACATACATTCAT